TTGCTCACCGAGGGTTCTGTACAGGGTGAGTTCGTTATCTCATTTTTTGCGAGGTTTACAAGAAAATGTTCAAAAGAAAAATTAAGAATCAACTGCTCCCGGAATGAATTGATATAATTTTTAATTTTTTTTTAATCCTCTTGTGCTATTTTAAGTAGAAAGTTCTAAGTTTATTAAAGATTGTTGCTTTTTTGTGTCGTAATAATACTTTTTGTACGGTCTTTTTTTTTAGTTTTGTATGATATTGATTTGTGCAAAATTAAAATAACTTATAATTCTTATCGTTTGCATTAATGCCCATGATGTTTGTTTAGGGCTTTGTTCAAGTCTAAATACTGGTGCCTGACTCTATGCCTATATCACCGCCGCAGCCGCGCCGCGCCGCGCCTTGAAAACGAACGATCGCATTGTGATCCGATTCAACTCTCATGATTCTTTTTTATGGCTCATCGTTCAAATCTTACGGATCTGTGCTGGCCATGATTCAATAAACAAACCGTATTGTAAGCAATGAACCAATTCTCACGACTCTTTGAACGCACGATCGCATTGTGATCCGATTCAATTCTCACGATTCTTTTTTACGGCTCATCGTTAAAATCTTATGGCTTCGCGTTAGCCGCGATTCAATGGAACAAACCGTATTTTAAGCAATGAGTCAATTCTCACGACTCTTTGAACGCACGATCGCATTGTGATCCGATTCAATTCTCACGATTCATTTTTACGGCTCATCGTTAAAATCTTATGGCTTCGCGTTAGCCGCGATTCAATGGAACAAACCGTATTTTAAGCAATGAATCAATTCTCACGACTCTTTGAACGCACGATCGCATTGTGATCCGATTCAATTCTCACGATTCTTTTTTACGGCTCATCGTTAAGATCTTAAGGCTCCGCGTTAGCCGCGATTCAATGGAACAAACCGTATTTTAAGCAATGAATCAATTCTCACGACTCTTTGAACGCACGATCGCATTGTGATCCGATTCAATTCTCACGATTCTTTTTTACCGCTCATCGTTAAGATCTTAAGGCTCCGCGTTGGCCGCGATTCAATTGAACAAACCGTATTTTAAGCAACGAACCAATTCTCACGACTCTTTGAACGCACGATCGCATTGTGATTCGATTCAATTCTCACGATTCTTTTTGACGGCTCATCGTTAAAATCTTATGGCTCCGCGTTGGCCGCGATTCAATTGAACAAACCGTATTTTAAGCAATGAATCAATTCTCACGACTCTTTGAACGCACGATCGCATTGTGATCCGATTCAATTCTCACGATTCATTTTTACGGCTCATCGTTAAAATCTTATGACTCCGCGTTGGCCGCGATTCAATTGAACAAACCGTATTTTAAGCAATGAACCAATTCTCACGACTCTTTGAACGCACTATCGCATTGTGATCCGATTCAATTCTTACGATTCTTTTTTACGGCTCATCGTTAAAATCTTATGGCTCCACGTTGGCCGCGATTCAATTGAACAAACCGTATTTTAAGCAATGAATCAATTCTCACGACTCTTTGAACGAACGATCGCATTGTGATCCGATTCAATTCTCACGATTCTTTTTTACGGCTCATCATTCAAATCTTATGAATCCGTGCCGGCCACGATTCAATTGAACGAATCTTGTTCTAAGCAGTGAATCAAATCACACGATTCATTTTTAATACTCGTTCAAATGAACGACTCGTTCAATCTTTGCCCACCTCTAGTCTCTTGGCGCGAATAGCCATAGATTAGGGTAATACTAGATTACCTAGTTGTTGACGACTACTGATATATGAATTTTCTTCAATATGAAGTAATTGTTTTTTCTTGTAGCAATCTAAACAGAAATTCTGGTTTATAATTCATTTCTTAAACCAATTACTATTGCCGTGAAACCATCCCATTACACACTGAACATGTTTTCTAAATAATCTACATCTATTCCTACAGTACTTAGCAATATACTTATATAATATACAGTACTAAACCAAAAAAATTTTTTTTTGGCTTGTTTGTGTATATCAGACACATTGACTAATTTATTTTCAGGATCAAATCTGTAACTACTGTCTCTACCATCTATACTTCTTACAACAAATTAAACTAAAATTGGAGTTTTGTTCTTAACTTGCTAAAAAACATTTAATTTTGTTAATTATTACTTTTTGTCATGGCAACTATGATGTTGTAGAGTAATTGCATTAAAAATATTGGAATAACTTGCGGCACTATTAAAAATAGGTATATGAAATACTTGATAACAGTTGTAGATAGTTGAAGGGTTTTGTAAAATCTAAAATCTTTGCAAAAATGTCAATAATATAAAACTATATGACAGTACTCGCCAAATTTTATAATTCGGGGTCAACGGAAAATACCCTATAAATTTTAATTCCCTTGAGAGTGTCGAAATTACGTTTTTTTTGCGGCATAAACGGCCGTATCCGAGGTGTGTGTCTACTAATGGCTGCCAGCGACTGCCAAGAAAATGTATAGGTATGTAGACACCCCTCGATATAATCATAAATAGAAATTTTACAACCTGTATTTTTTATCAAATGTGTGTTAGATTACTTTTCGGAATTGCTTACTAACTATATTTTCCTTTCCCAACACGGATAAATTTACAAAAGTAGTTACAACAACATTTATGACGTTTTTACTTGGTAAACCATGACAAAAACATTCGCGTAGTAAACAATTACGTAACTCCAGGTGTTGTCGGTCATTTACACACGAGAAATACGTCACAGACAGACAAACTGTTTCATCTACTATAGCAATATTCTTCAGAATACCTGCGTAATTCCCATTACAATTTCTTAGTCATAATATTTACCTGATTTCACTTAATAGTCCAGTCGAAGTAGCAAGAACTGCAATAAAATGAAAAAAGGAATCGACAATACCTATTCAGCGGCGGCTGATTCTTGACCAATGTTGTCAACTTTTTCAAATAGAAATTTCCAAAAGACGGTCAAAATTTCCCGTTTTTTCTAAAAATTTCCTCGAGTTCTCAACCCAATGACTTAGTATATGACATAAATTAGGATTGACTGACGTATTCATTTGTTTTCAGTCACTTCCTGTTTTAAATCGTTAACATATCCTGTATATTTTCGATCATTTCTCATAGGATGCGGAATAGGATTTCTCAAGGAGTTTCTGGAAAAACAAAATTTGATTTATTTCATATGGGCATATTTTTGAGTAGATAGCTACAGATATAATAAAAATGAACTTACTTTTTTTTCTTACATTTGATGATACATACATTTTATACATTATACAGGGTGCTTCAAAAAACATGTGCCATCTCTCGTGGAGAGATTCCTTACGTAAAAATAAGATTTATTTTTCATATCAACATAGGTCCGATTCTGGTCTGTTTCGTAGCTACAGGGTGTTAAAGTTTTAATATTTTTTTCGAATTATTATAATTTTCTTACAAGTAATTTTAGCGTTTCGAATGAAATTTTGAGGGTAAAAGTTATTATAAATGCGACATTTTTAAAGTTAAAAAAGTGTCGACCTATTCACCAGGGACGTACATATGGGTTGTCACTGGAATACTTTTCTAAAAAAACATGTACGCCACTGACCTTTTTCTCTTGTTAATGGAATAGTGTAAGCAGTTTAAATGCCGATTAAAAGTTGTTTCTTCATATTTTATCGATTTCGGCCTCCTTGGTGAGATAAATGCAATTTTATTAATTTGCCTTGACCCAAGTCTAATAGCAACCTTTAAAAAAATAATATCATTAACTTGCGAAAGTTCTAAATAAGTACTCATTGATTCCTAATCAAAAAATATGAAAAAAGTGCCTATAAACATGGGTATTGAAATGCATAATTTTAAAGTTACAGGATGTTACAATTTTTTAAAATTTGTTTTTTTTGTAATTATCTTAAATACCATTATCTTTTTTAAATTGCTGTAGTTTGGACTAATAGTAAAAGCAACTAATAGTAATAATATTTAATAATGAATTAGGTAAAATATATAATTTATTAATTTTATTTTTATTTTATTAATTGTGATTAATAAAATTGCGTTTTTCTCATCAAGGAGGAGAATTTTTCTCATTTTTCTCATCATTCGACACAATATCAAGAGATTGGCATTAAACAGCCTACACAATTTTGATATCAAAAGAAAGAAAGTCAGTGGCGCACATGATTTTTCTTGAAAAATATTTCAGTGTTAACCCATATGCATGCCCCTGATGAATTTATCGGCACTTTTTTAGCATTAAAATATGTCGCATTTATAATAACTTTTACCATCAAAATTTCATTCGAAACGCTAAAAGTACTTAGATGAAAATTAAAATAAATCGAAAAAATATTAAAACTTTAACACCCTGTAGCTATGAAACAAAGCAGAATCGGACCTATATATGTTGATATGAAAAATAAATATTATTTTTACGTGAGGAATTTCCCTACGAGGGATGTCACATGTTTTTTGAAATACCCTGTATACAATAGATCATTTCATAATATATAATATTATCTATTTGTTAACAGTCTCTGGTTGAAAAATCGACCCCCCCCCCCACTCCCTCATTTATTAACTTTTTGAAGAATGTTATTAAGAATACATTTTTTTTTTCTTCTTTTTAATTTCTAAACCAGGTTTCTTTGAGAACAATGAACGCGTTCTTTAAATTACATGATATCTGCAATACAGAGTCCCGTTTTCTTTGGAGCCTTCACGTCATTTGAAAGGTGCCACCCTGTACAATACGATCGAAAATAAACGACACGTCTGGGATAGATTGGAAATTAAGTTCGCTGCGATTTTTTGTAAAATTGTATAATTATAAGGTAAATGTCACCAATCTTTAATTCCAGGCCAACTTGCCACATCTGTAAGCAACGTCATTTTCGTCATTAGTATTATTATTCTGTAATATTACCGGACTACAACGTTGTAATTCGTAAAATTCGCATCAACTGGGAAATACCTCCATTAACAACAAAACTAAGGCAGTCTTCAGTGACAGTTTTAGTTTGTTTCGACTACTCGGTGACTAGTGATTTGCAACACAGGCGTCTTGAATTCGGCGGCCCCAAAGCGCATCCCAGTTATTAAATAGGAAGCAGTGCTAAGTGCTGGTTTGTTCTACAATTCATTACCGACAGATCGTTGCGATTGATAATGGGTTTCAATAATCGATTCTGTGTCCTTGCGGCGCTCACTTTATGTTTCTTTAATGAAGGTAAGTCGTGTTGTAATTACAGCTTTTATATTTAATATCTGTTTATTAAATACTGAGATAGTTATGTACTTTATTTAAGAATCATAGAGAACCGGTAAATATTTCATGTGCTAATAGGTAAAACATAAATTTTAGTTGTTTTGTTGCGCTTTTTGTTCTTAACAATTTTCATACAAAACTTTCTTTATTTCTTTTTGCCCTTAATTTATACAGGGTGGCCTGCAAGCTTCCGAAAAACTCTAAAATTAGGTTTTTGGTTTGTGATTTTTATTTCAATTTTTAAGCAATGTGAAGGTACTGGTAACCAGGGTTGCCACCCGTCATTTTGATCCAAATGTCCCGCGTCCCCACGCAAATGTCCGGATTTTTATTTGTTTAATAGCCAATTTAAAATTCCACGAATTAATTAAAATCTTAGAAATTTTAGAATTAAAAGAAGTAGATATTGATACTCTGTTTAATGAATATTCGATAATAAAAACTTGCGTAAAGGAAATCTATACTAATATATAAAATCCTTAAGTGACTGACATACTGATTAATCACGATCCTGCTCAAACCACTCAACGTAAGAAGCTCAATTTTGGCATACAGGTTGATTCTAGGGTGTAGAGGTTCGATAAGAAGGGATTTTTCGAAATTCCAGTTCCAAGAGGGTGAAACCACCCCTCAAATATTACAATATTGTCACAATTTATGCAACTACTATTACTCTAACGGTATTTCGCGGTATTTTCAAACTTCAGACTTCAGACTATCTTCAGACTTGTCTAACTGTCAAAGCGCGGGCCTTATATACCCCCTGGCGATTGTTTCTAGACTTTTCTAAAGAATTCTATAATTTTCTTTTACTTTCTGGCGAATGCGCCAGGTTCCTCAATGCACGTTGCGATTATTTAGCAGTATGCAGTTATGCAACCAGTAATACACCTTGACAATATTTTTTATTTAAAAAACGGTTAAGTTTTCGAAAAAACGCTTAAACACGTATATTTTATTTTGTCTTTTTACATATTTTAAGATTTTTTAAAAATGTATACAGGGTGTTTCGAAAAATCTGGTCATTGATTAATCACGATCCTGCTTAAAGCGCTTGACGTAAAAAACTGATTTTTGGAAAACAGATTGACTTTAGGCTGTAGAGGTTCGATAAGAAGGGATTTTTAGGAAACTATCCTTCAAATATTAAAATATTTTTTATTTAAAAACCGGTGAGTTTTTCGGAAAAAGTCTTAAACACGTATATTTTATTTTGTTGTTTTACATATTTTAAGATTTTTATAAATTTATACAGGGTGTTTCATAAAATATGACCATTGAGTAATCACGATTCCGCTTAAACTGCTTGACGTTTAAAGCTGTGGGGTGTAGAGGTGATTGACTGTGGGGTGTAGAGGTTCGATAAGGAGGAGTTTCTCGAATCTCAAATTCCAAGAGGGTAAAAACGCCCCTCAAATATTACAATATTTCTTATTTAAAAAACGGTTAGTCTTTCGGGAAAACGCTTGGACAAGTATAATTAATTTGTTTTTTTTATATATTTTGAAATTTTTTAAAAAACTATACAGGGTGTACATACAAACCAAAAAGTTGCGTAATTTCTTAACCACGATTCTGCTTAAACTGCTTAACGTAAAAAGCTTATTTTTGGCAAACGGATTTTCGAAAGTCAAATTCCAACTAGATGAAACTACCCCTCAAATATTACCAAGTTATATAATAATATCGCCATATTGTTTTTTCTCATGCTGACATAAATGTGAGAAAATTTTATCCAGTTTGTATGTTAATGGAAATTCTTGCTTTGCTTTATCATCACCATTACAAATGATTAATTTGACGCGAACGAAGTCGCTGGTACACACTAGTTCGCCATAAAGGATATAAAAATTATAGATAAAAAAATACGTATTTTTAAAACTAGAGTAAATTATATGTCTTCATGTTTAAGGTTGTTATTTATATATTTTCACGTATGATGTTGAAGTAGACAGACGCTAGAAATAGCTATTTAGAATTTTTCATTAGAACGGAACTTCAATTTAATTTTAATATATCGCATATAAGAATTTTTGGATTTTATTAAAAATTACAAGGCTCTTATTTTTACAGGAACAAAACAAATAAAAAATATTTATTACAGTTGGGGGTGGAGCCTTTGGTGTTACCACAGCAAAATAAAACACTAATTCACCGCAATATACCAAAACACTTTGCTTTTAACACTAGATGCTCGTTTCGCCAATCATAAATTTGAAGTTAACCATCAGTTTTCATCATCTGCTGATGATGCTAAGCTGGTTTACGAAACGCGCGTCCAGTGTTAAAAGTAAAGGGTTTAATGGAAATTAGCGCACTTGTAAGGGTTAATGCCTTTTTATGCTTGTGTATACTAAGTATGTTATATTTTAAAGTATTTTGGTGTATTAGTGTTTGGTGAATTAGTGTTTTATTTTGCCAAAAAACGTTGATTTAAAAATAGTTAAATAAACTAATAAAGCCAATTATACAGATTTTACAGCTGAAACTTTTGATTCTGTTTAGGTTTTGCTCTAGTTGTTTTAGATTTAATTGATTGTTTCCTAATCTTGTTTTAACTTTAAATTTTTTAGTTTTACATAATTATTTATAAATTTCGAATAGTTTTATTAGTTAACGCAAAAAGGCGTAAAATATTGTTTCAAAATTCGATGGGCACATAAAATTTTACATTTAAGAAAAAAGGTTGGACTAGTGCTGTCCCGATTTTTTAAATACAAAAGGTGGCAACTCTGATAGTAACGCACGTTTTGAAAATACTTTTGTCAATATACAGGATTGAAACAAATTTTTAAACTAAACTTTTATATTTTTATATGGAATACTGTATATTTTTTTAGCTCAGTTGATTGCCATTAAATTTCTATTCCAAAAAACTTGATCCAAAAAGTTGTACAGGGTGAGACAAACTGCTTATTGGAGATTGGTCACCTTTAAAAGCATGTTACTCTCTTATTTTAAATGGAACACCCAGTATATTATTCCGATATTCAATGGAGAATTCATGTCTCTTCAAAATACTATTAAGGTTGCCTACCCCTCAAACAAAGATTTTCCTAGGTATTTTCATTTACATGATTTAATCTGAGTAGATCTTTATTATTTGATAAAATCTAGATGGCTGTAACATGTTTGACGTTACTTCAACATAGTTGTCTAATTAGTCCAACTTTAACAACTAGTTATCATTTTGTGTCAGTTAAAACAAAAAAGTTTCTCAGAAATTTGCCGAAAATGCAAACTTATCCTACATCAGAGAGAATTGACAAGATTCTATTAGTTGGTGAATGCAGTGACTAATGTTCCATATTAATTTTGTCTCACCCTGTATAACTTTTTGTGTCAAATTTGAATTTGGTTTAACACACTATGGTTACTGTAATTAAATATCAGGCTATACAAGGTCAACTAAAATTTAGGTAGCTGTTATCGAAATTTAAAATTTTCTCTTCATTTTCACAAAATGTGAAATATGTCAAAATCCTTAGATTTTAGGTATATATGCTTTTTTAATAAAACTCACCTTTATTTTTTTCCTAGAATCCGAAAATCAATTAATATATAGGGTGTTCCATCAGAAAAAAACACAACTTTGATGTGTAACGTTTTCTGGCGATATCCTGTATAATTCTATATATTTTTATAAAATGCTTTCAGTTAACCTACATATGCTGCCAACATTTCATTTGGATATAAACTACCGTTCTCCTTGGAGCTTCCGCGGCGTATGAGAGGCGCCACCCTGTATACTGGGTGCTCCATTTAAAATAACAAAGGTGCTGCTACTTTTCAAATGATAGATGGAGGCATTTATATGTAAAAATGTAAATATTCAAAAAAATCCTATAACCGGTTCTCCATAAACGTCTAAGTTATCATCTCCGTGAGTCACCCTATATATTCTTTTACAGGCAGTGGTCAGACTGCGACTGTTTTTATTATCATGTGATAATATTCTGCGTTTTTTTGGTTTCCGTTATATTTTCATTACCCATTATTTCGCTTGAAATGTATAGTAGAATAAAAAATAAGACGCACATTTATTAAAAGTTATTTACTAGTAGCAGGAAAATATAGATTATTATCAGAACTAGACGTCAATTTACATTTTTCCTCTCGTGAATTGCTCGAGCGGCGAATCAAACGAGAAACCTTGATTTCCGGCAGATTTCAGTTAAATTGGAATTTATTTTTTAATGACACGAATTATTATGAATCGCAGAAATTACGAGACAGATCATATTAAATAGTAATTTATTTTGTTCAAACGTTATTAACATTTACTTCTTAGTACAGTGATAGAATTAAAAAAAACTGCCATAGCTAATCTGGACTGGGCCTACTTTGTTTATGCGGAATCCGAACCGCGGTCAATGGCTCAATGGCCTACCGACCAGGCAAGTGCCTAAATCAACTCTTACTCACGAGATATCCGATCTCATCCGGCCTCGAACCGGCCTGAATGAGCAGTGTCTGTCAATATATAGATTTTACACTTTTGCCTTTATTGGACAACAGCACGATACAGAGTTTCGAACCGGTCACCCGTCCACCCACTAGTATCGCCTTACGTCGCTTAACTTCGGTGTTCTAATGGGAACCGGTGTTTCGATGTAGCTGGGCCGTTGCCCCCTAAAATTAAAAAATAAAAAACTATCTTCTTGATATGTATGATATTACCCATTTCTTTGTTAAGTAATAGCTTATTTGATACAACAGGGCTTTAACAAAATCCAGTATCTGATACGGCTCCACAGAGGCCAGCTCTCCATCCTCGACATCAGCCGTACCAAAGTTTACGGCACAAATGGTCGTGACATCACTCAGTGATGAGGTGTTCCCCATTTTCCCCACAGAATCTGCATTCGCCGTTTTTTCGCAGCTTCAGCCTACTGAGGTGTTCGTTGAGGAGACAGTGTCCTGTTAGAAACCCCGTGACAATCCGAAGACTGTTTTTACTTAAATCAAGGAAAACCTTTGATTTTTCTCGGTCGTAAGTTCTGAGGAACTTTTTCGAGTGTCTTAGACCGTTGCGCGTTGGAGGACACCCACTCCAAGTTACGGATGGAGTTTTTCAGATTCTTCAATTCCGCTTTCAGTTGGTTCCCGTTTGGAAAACAGAACGGTTCTGGTCCAGTTAGTGGAGTGTTCGCTCCTTCTCTTTCTAGATGGCAGAAAGTTACCGATAGTTTTAGAACGTTCCAGAAACAGTCACCAGAGCATATACAGGGTGTCCCACTTGAATACAAGATGGATACAAGCCAATATCTTGGTTGTTTGTTGATCGATCTTTTCCATTTTTGGCAGGAGGCTGTATGGCTATAAGACGTACATTTTACCCAGGATAAGAAATGCGATACCTCATAGACGTACGTTTTAATGGGGTTTGATATTTTTCGAGTCAAGAGTAAACTACCCTTTGGACAGTATCTACTTCAAATTTGATAAATTATATTAAATCCTCCTTACCCAAGATACTTAAGTTCTAATTTTGATAAATATTGATACAGGGTGTGTTATTAAAATAAGACATTTTTATTTTTATTGTTATTTTTCTAAGTACTTACGACGCCACTGGATAAACAACTGGTTTATTATCAATAATCAATTATCAATTAATAATCGATTTAAGTTTTCAGAGAGCTTCCATAACAATTAAGATACGATACAAAAAAACTAAATATTTTCAATTTATTTTCAATTTAATTTAAAAACCCAGTTTTCAATGGAATCTGAAATATGATTTTTATTCGTTTTATTGAGGAATATTTTAAAAAATCCAAATAGTTATTTAAAACAATCACTATTAACTTAGGAAAATATGCTCTAAACAAAGATTTATAAAACTATAACGAACTAAAAGTCATCATCTTCGACCATCGTCGACCATCGTCGACCATCTTCGACCATCTTCGACAATTTTCGACCATCTTCGACCATCTTCTACCATCTTCGACCATCTTCGACCAAACTTAAACAGATTATTAATTGATAATTAGATATAATTGGTTATTGATAATAAACCAGTTGTTGTTTATCCACTGGCGTCGCGTCGTAAGTACTTAAAAAAATAATAATAAAAATAAAAATGTCTTATTTTAATGACACACCCTGTATCAATATTTATAAAAATTAGAACTTAAGTATCTTAGGTAAGGAGGATTCAATATAATTTATCAGATTTGAAATAAATACTGTCGTAAAGGTAGTTTACTCTTGAGACGAAAAATATCAAACCCCATTAAAACGTACGTCTATGAGGTATCGCATTTCTTACCCTGGGCAAAATGTACGTCTTATAGCCATACAGCCTCCTGCCAAAAATAAAAAAGATCGCTCAACAAACAATCAAGATATTGTCTTGTATCCATCTTAAGTGTGACACCCTGTATAAAGGCGCGTAATCGGCATTTCAGCAGTTTGAAGTTTGAAAATACCGCGTTTTAAATTGCGAATCGGACAATTTGGCGAAGGAATTTTATAAATAGTTAGTTTTGTGTTAAATTAGTATAAATTGTGTGTAAATTGTGAGAAAAATAAATTCGTTAAGTATTTTATCGTGAGTTTAAATTAGTGGACCCACGGAATCCGTAACAATATTAAAAGCTTTCACCTTTGCCTTGATTTCACTTCAATTCACTGTACGAAGTTAGCTAGTTAAATAATAATTCTAAAATTAGATAGAACTAAATTTTCTATTTGTTTTTATAGCGATTTTATCACAGAAACATATATTTTCTTTTGATATTATTTTCTTCTATATCTTTGTAAGAACAATAACAGGAAACCAATTAACTTTCAACTCTCAACAAGAAACTCAGATAATACTTTAAAAATCATTATCGTCTCTCTAATAACGTTAATTCTATAACGAAAAGAAAAAGCAATATAGATTTATTGCTTACAGGCCATGAAGGATTTTAGATAAAGCCTTTTATTTCTTTAAACTGCAGTAAAAGAAACGTTTCGGAGAAATCTAGATTATTGATATTTTTGTGGATATAGTTAAAACCCTCCAACTATGATGACAAAATATACAGACATTCTCTCTGCCATCTCGGTCGTATGTGCGATTTATCTAATTTTTTATCTTTATTGTCTTTATACAGGGTCCGGCAATAGTGCGTCCGGCATCCGTAGCGCCTACAATAATAAACTTGGTAATTTTGTTTAAGTCCATACCTAAAGTATGTACTGGGATTTATTTCAAGAAAATATTTTAACTTCTATAGGGTGCCTCAAAAAAGTATGAGTGGATTGGGATGATTTTTTTTAAATGAAACATCATGTATATTATTGCATTTTTCTCTTTCTTTCAGATAACTTTACATAATACTAAGGTATGAGTAAATATATTTCGAGAACTTCTGAGATATTAATAAATAAATAAAAATAGATATTTTTCAACCTTCCTTAACAAAAATTATTACAAATACAAGAACTGTCCTGAAATCAAAACTATATTAGTTGTTTACTTTAGAAGGTCTATACTTAACTTTGCTATAAATATCGTAATCTTAAATAATACAGGGTGTTCAAAATTCTACGTCAAACTTTCTAAACTATAAAAAAAATTGTTTTTTTTACATGGAGAACCCTGTATATTATTTTTTATTAGATGGAGAGTTAAAAAAGGAACATTTTTTGTATTGTATATAGTATCTGTTTTAGATATTTTTTATGCGGTACGGTTAACAACAAAGTTTACAAGAGAACATTATGAATCAAGAAAGATACTCGAAGAGGCGACAGGGGATAAGTTTAATAATGTCGACCGCCGCGCCGCGCCGCTTTGTGAGAAACGCTTGTAATTAATTTTTAAATAAAATAGATGCATTTTATGTACTCAAAACAATGGCCGATTTTTTGAACATTTTTAATTTGTTAAAATAACTTAAAGTGTGTTATTAGTTTTATAAGTTTTAATTTGTTTAATGTAAACTGTAAAGAACCATTTAATAAAATATGTTGTCTTTTTATAAGTTATAAATTAAAATAGAATAAGAATAAGTGAAATTAGTAAAAAAAACATAAAAATTGCGTATAACTCAGTAAATTTTCGAAAAAAAAACATATTAAGGCTGGAAAGCTTAAAAATAGGGGTTTTACGGCTTTTTATGAAGTCATGGCCAACTATGGTTTCCATTTTAAAAATTTTGTATCATATGTCAAAAATGGCAGGCTTTAGAAAACAACAGAGGACACAGTCTCATTAAAGATATGCTTTTCTACAATTTTTATCTGAAAACTTTTTGTCGAAAATAGATTATAATGGAATTCAATTAAAGCATTTTTAAAACAGCCAACATTTTTTTTTCCAAATATCTAGTAAAATTTTTCAAAAATATTTCAAAAATTCGAAAGGCGCATATGTTTGTTCTCACAAAACTGCAATTCTTTCCCCATTTAACCGACTCTCTAGCTCCAGTAGTTTCCAAGATATCCATATACCAGGTGCGTCTCAAAAGTGGCTCACCCCTATAACTTTTTATTTTTTCAGTTAAAAAAACGAGATTTGGATGTTACTATATGACATAAATTAGAATTGATTGACGTATTCAATTGTTATCGGTCATTTCCTGTTTTACCGGAAATGACTATAACTTTTGATTTTTAATGGCATTTTTTTACTCTATTCGATAGAAAATAATAGTCTGAATAGAATGATATATCATAACATGTCATATGTTATATGGTTAATATGTCATATGTTTATTTGAAAATATAACTTGCGGTTCGTAACGAAAATTTGACTGGGAATATCAAGTGTGTGGTATCAAATTATTCGTAAAAAATGCTTTTTCCAAATATGCTAATGAGCCACCCTCGTTCCATTTGAAAAAATTCAGATATGATTAAAAATACGATTTGGGCATCTTTTAACCAGCCAGGACAAGACACTAAAAACATTAGACGATCCAATCTATTTTTCCAAGGTTCCTTGATTAAGGATTAGTGTTTTTAACATAGCTATGGCACTCTAGATTGCAATTTAGAATACAATTTTTTATTAAGCGAGAATATCAAAAGTTGACACATGATATGTCATTCTATTCAGAATGTCAATTTCTATCGAACAAAGTAAAAAATTACCGAGGGTGTCATTTAAAAATTAAAAGTTGTAGTCATTTCCGGCGAAACAGGAAGTGACCAAAAACAATTGAATATGTCAATCATTCCTAATTTATGTCATATACTAACATACCAAATCTCGTTTTTTTAACTAAAAAAATAAAAAAGTTATAGGGGTAAGCCACTTTTGAGACGCACCCGGTAGAGAACATCGTAGAAAACACACCCTGTAGATGGAAACAAAACGCATTACAAATCTTATGGTAGTTATGGCATCCACGAAGTATAAATGATCTATGGACAAATCACATAAAATGGCATGCATCCGTGTCCAATCAATCCAATCGTGGCGATTTTATGGTCAATTATATTTTTAATTTTCAGGATCGGCTCTACAATGCTACGAGTGCACGGCGAGCGATGCGCTATCTTGCGGCAGCCCTTTCAACAGGAACAACGTCAGCGTCATAGACTGTAGCATGTCGATATTCACGGTCGAGCTCGGAAACGACTCGGAAAATAAAGTTTTTACTTGTTTGATGATCAAAGAAACCGGTAAGATTTATGGATTGTTTTCTTGTAATTTACAATGGTTTTATTACAGTTTAACTAGTTCATTATTTTCCTTATGAACAGTGTAGACAGTCACCTAAAGGTGCGTCCACATTGCTCGTGATCCTGCTCGCGCTCTTGCTTCTGATTGTGCTTGCGTTGCTTGCGCTTCCTGTTTGTCGTGTTTCTCAAGATCTTTCGGCTCGCAAGCAACGACGTCCACATTGTAATGTAGTGCTTGCGTTCGTGCTGTTCGGACATGGATGATACTGAAGTATTTTTTATAGCGGATGCTAGTGCGATCATTATTACAAAACGAAGGAAACAAAGAGAAAAAAAGGTGGTTTTGGATGTCTAATAATTTCAAAAGTAGTTCCCACTTTCAATGTGCTGAAAGTAAACATCTACGCGATTTACAAACAGAAAGTTTTTTAATAATTTTTATCGAATGTCCGCTACTGATTTCGATTTTAACATAGTTTGGACTCCGTATAGAAAGAAAAAATACAACTTATAGGAAGTGTATTCCGGTTAATGAAAGAGTTAAATAAAGATTGGCCATAGCATTAAATTCTTTGCAACTAGAGACTTACATGCCAGTTTGGGTTATTTATTCAAAGTTTTCAAGCAAAGCATTTCAAAAATAATACCAGGCGTATGCCAAAATATAAATAAAGTTCTCAAAGATCAGATTAAGTTAAGTAGGCAATATAAATATAGAGCTATAGTTTATTAAAGGTATATTTAATATTATTAATCCAAGAACAAAACACAATTATTTGTAATTCTGAACAAAAAAAAATAAAAATCATGGTAGTATCACTCACCGACAAGATTTATTTCTTTGGTGAGCAACTTAGTTTATTTATCAAATTAGAAAATCTATAACTAAGGAATAGCTTTATTTATTTTTATTTTCTTATTTTTCAGGAACTTTAGTTTTATTTTTTTTTACTTACATTGTACTTTTTTTGATAAATAAACTTTACTTTACTTTACTTTACTTTATCATCATACTGCAGTAAATACCGAATCCTATGAATGAAACCAAACTAAAAACTACACAAACAACGCAAACAGCTCGAGCGCTTCGAACCGCCGTAAAGTATGCTCGCATGGCTCCGAAGCTTTTCTTTGATGTACCGCGACAGAGCCGAACAGTCGAAACAGGTATTTTATGTGATCGCAAGCACGTGGAGTACCGCGAGAGTCGCGAGCCCCGCGAACCTCTCGCTGCTACTGTTTGTCATGTTTTTCGTGTTTCGCCTATTCGTTCGGCCTGCTCGCGAGCAATGTGGACGTACCTTAATACTTAATGAAAACCAAAAGACATCCAAAGTTTACGAAACAATACATATTTCGCACAAATGCACCGCCATATTAGCTACACTTTTATTCTCGCATTATATCTTCACTTTCAGATGCAATTTTAACTAAAAACTAAAGACGGAATCAAATATCATTTTTATATACAGGTTTTTTTTTAAAAAACATATGCCATCTCGTGGAGAGATTCCTCACGTAAAAATAAGGTTTAAGATAAATATACCAGTGTTCATCACTTTCTTTGTCACATCACAGGATTTTTATATATGAAAAAAAAATTAAATATTACACGTCATGTCATATTAATAAAATTCGAATTTTATGCAGACAAAGTTTCGGGAAAAAACTAGTACATAATAATTTTTACAACGAGTAAAAATTAGACTGTATTAGTTAATACCTCATAAAACGGTGTGTATATTTTTGGCTATTACATTATTATTTCTAAGTAGACAATATTATCAGCTATCGCAGATGTTTCTGTGGTTATTTATATTAAAAAAGATATAGGGATTTGAGAGTTTCCTGCTTACAGGAAATTTAACAAAGACCAACTATACGGATTCTCAGAAATACTTTTATATTCAAGATAAAATAAATGTTGGTTTTATTAAACTTTTAAATTAACACTTATACTCAGAAGAACAAATATAAAAACTAAAAGCAAATTTTAATTGATTTTTTTATAATATAAGATACAAGGTGGCCTAAATTAAAGAACATTGCCTTCCTCACGTAAAAATAATATTTTTTTTTATCAACATAGGTCCGATCAATGACTAAAGAATCCCAGGACAAATAACACCCGAGAGCAAATTGTGCCGTGGCACATATTTTTCTTAATCTAGCTGTTTGAAGCAATATTTATATTTTTTGATAATTGTTTTGACTACGCCTATGGTGTATCATACTAATTAATTACGAAAAAAAACGTATTCAAACGTTAACAAAAGGTACAAAACTAGTACCGACGTATAGCACATATCAAGTACATATAGATGTTAATTGAAATTAAAGAATAATCGAATTCAATAAGAAAACGCTAAAAAGTTGGAGTGGATTGTTTATTAACCTATGAAACGTAATTCCTGGCTCTTTCTTATCGCTGCTGCTTTTACACTTGAAAGCTGAACAACTAATCATCATTGTAATAAAATTGATACAAAGTTTACTACACACAAACTATTAAAAATCGTTAAAATTGTCGCTGGTGACCAAATGATGACTCACTGTTTGCCATCAAAAGAATGGCCTCTAAGGTCACAAATTCTGCTGCAGCCCGTATATGGGCGTTACATGTCCTTATATTCTTTAGTCATTGTGTCCGAAGCTGTTTTATTTTGTCGCTACTGGATATTAAAAGTTAATTTTTTTCGATTTATTATAATTTTCTTCCAAGAGTTTTTGGCGATTCGAATGATATTTTGGGGTAAAAGTTACTATAACTGCGACATATTAAAGCTAAAAAAGTTTCGACATATTCATCAGGGACGTGCATATGGAATATCACAGGAATATTTAAAAAAAACGGCGCACCACATACTTTTTTTCTTGCGAACACGTGTAGGGCATTTAATGTTGATTAAGAGTTGTGTCTTCATATTTTGTCGCTTTCGGACTTCTCGATGAGAACGCAATTTTATTAATTTGCCCTAATTTAAGTCGAATAGCAAACCTTTAAAATATCATTAACTGGCCAAAGTGTTAAATAAGAACTCATTGATTCCTCATCAAAAAATATGGAAAAAGTTCCTATAAACTTCAGTGCAGAAATTCATTTACAGGACGTTATAACTTTAAGAAAATATGTCTTTTGTAAATATCCTTTTTTTTAATTGATGTTTTTACCTTTTCCGAGATGTTAAGTCTGACAATAGAAACTGAAATACCCAGTATATACAGGGTTGCCCGTCGAAAACGTTCCACAAGGCATATAACGGCCAGGGTAATTTTTTTTTCAGAAAATTCAAAAACACGTCAATTTTGTTTGTGAGGGGGACAACTTTTGCCGCAAAAATTATTGCAAAATCTTCAACCCTCTAAGCGGGGGTGTCATTTCCCAATTTTTTTCAAATGGGAAGGTGGGTCAAGTGGTACCGCAATGAAAAGGGCTTTCTATTCTCTATATTTTCCCGCTTCGTTTTTGAAAATCGGTCGACTCATTGAGAAAATATGAAGGATTGAAATTTGAAAAGTTTATTTAAACATTTATCAGAGTAAATGATAAGGATAAATTCCTTCGACCAATTTGCTGTTTTTTCTTATTATTTCTAGATGTTTACGCATTTTTTCACTTGCCACGAGGTTGAACGATCAGGTGGGGTAGTTGCTAGATAGCTGTTCTGTGACTTGTGCGTTGAAGTTTTTCTCCATATCGTTAAACTTTTTAACAATTATGGTGTACTCACTTGCAGAAAAAGTAGAAAAAATCGAACTTTATTTTAAAAATAATGAATGTAGCAATCGGGTTCCGCAGATATTCAATGAATGCCATCCTGAAAAACACCTTTATGGCAAAATTGTTCGCGAGTTAGTAGCAAAATTTCGCGAAACTGGTTCCGTTATGAATAAAAAGAGGCAGAGGGAAAATCCTGTAGTAAATAAAGCTATGGAGGTATTCGTATTGGGCCAAGTTGCCATGGATAGTACGCTGAGTACAAGAAAATTAGTCAATGAGACCGGCGTGAATCGTACAAGTGTCCAAAGGATATTAAAAAAACACAAGTTCCACCAGTACAAAATCGATACTGGGGTGAGGACAACCCCAGGGTTTTTCACGAGGTGCACACACAAAACCCTCAGAAATTGAACGTGTGGGCTGGTATTTTTGGAAATTCTATTGCAAGTCAGTTTAACGATATTGAGAAGAATTTCAACGTACAAGTCACAGTACAGCTATCTATAGCACTACCGTACCTGATCGTTCAACCTTGTGGCAAGTGAAAAAATGCGTAAACATCTAGAAATAATAAGAAAAAACAACAAATTGGTCGAAGGAATTTATTCTGATAAAATGTTTAAATAAACTTTTCAAATTTCAATCCTTCATAATATTTTCTCAATGACTCGACCGATTTTCAAAAACGAAGCGGGGAAATATAGAGAATATAAAGCTATTTTCATTGCGGTGCCACTTGACCCGCCTTCCCATTTGAAAAAAGTTGGGGGATGACACCCCCGCTTAAAGGGTTGAAGATTTTGCAATCATTTTGGGGGGAAAAGTTGTCCCCCTCACAAACAAAATTGACGTGTTTTTGGATTTTTTGAAAAAAAAATACCCTGGCCGTTATGCCTTGCGGAACGTTTTCGATGGGCCACCCTGTATTAATATTATACATATTATAACCTATGGAAACATAGCTTTTACATTATTTAATAAATATGTTGCATTTTCAGATACTACGACCAATGGCGTTATTTACAACAGAAGATGCAGCGTAAAAAATTCCGATGACACATGCAAAAGGATAATTGAAGAAAATCAAAAGAAACCAAACATTAAAACTACATGTACCGAGTGCGAAAAAGATCTCTGCAATTCTACGTCAAACCAGTTTGAGAATTTTAGCATTATCGCTTTATTCATTAGCTTTGCTATTTTTAGAATATAGAATATATTTAAGCTAAAAGTTATAATTATAACCATTAGTAATGACTTTATTGATAATTTTTAATTTATTTTAATTAATTATTAATGTAATATGAGGAAAATAAAACATTAATTTACCACAATACACTTTACTCTTAACACTGGATGCAATTAAAACTAATATGTACAAATTGTGCGTTTATACAGGGTGTCCCAGAAATAAGTACAAGTTTTTTAAGGGGTGGTAGATCTCGATAAAAGAAACATATTTTCTTTTTATCGTTTTTCAAATAAGTCCAAAATAACGGAGTTATTTTACATTGAAAATTTCAAAAAAAAAAATTATTTTTTTCTAAAATTTTGAGAACCACTGGATCTTTTCTGGATTTTCTTTCTTGTAAATTTAATCTACTACTTATGTTGCCATATTATCAAGAAATAATTTTTTTAAAATAAAAATTTAAAAAATTACAAAAAGTTCCGAATTTTCAAAAAAAAATTTAAGCGAAAAGAACCTCATAGGCGTGTTTCTGGGGTTAAACTATACTACCAGTTAAAATACTTGCGCTGATTTCTGGGACACCCTGTATAGGCTCTTGGTTGGTATTGATCAAGTGTGTCAAAATCAGTCAAGCCAGTCAAATTCAATCAAGCATAACAATTAATTACCCATACCAGAGCAATAGGAAGAGACCTGAAAGGAACTTATCCATTGGCCAGTGGCGTATCGTTATTATCTGTCTATATGTATATATATCTTTATTTATCGATGTACTTAAACAGCCGTTAAACGGTAGCCTACTAAAATGCCGTTAGGCTACCTTGAAATACCCTGAGGCTATCGCTTCGTGAGCGAATGGTCCGTGGTTCAAATCTCACGCCGACCAAGACTTTTTTATATATTTTTTTGCTTATAGCGTGATCTTATTGCATTGGAGGGTGTTAATTCATTGGTTAGTTGGTTATTTGATGGGGTTGGTTGGTTTTTACTAATTTATATTTGTTTTTTATATTTTTGTTATCAGTGTCGAGGTTAGTTGCGTTGGTTAAGTTGGTTATTTGGTGGGGTGGATAGCGTTAGTTAGTCCTTATAAAATTCTTATATTTCATAAAGCCGTCAAGTGCGTCACATCAACGACGTCATACCTATTAACGGCATTTTAGTAAGCTAGCATTTAACGGCAGTTTAAGCACATCCTTTATTTATTATGACTTATATGCATCTAATTGCCTGTAATTTGAGATTTGTTTGATTAATTTTAGATGATTAACTTCTCTAGAATGATCTTTATCAAAAATATGTTGAGTAACGCAAGATTTGTCTTATCTGAGCCACATGTTTTTTAAATCTAGTTAAATTTGATCTTCTAGTTTGACCAACATATTTTTGATTACAATTTTTACAGCTTATTATTTTTTAGTTGATAGACTAGTTTTTCACTTACCAATATAAAGTAGAAAGATATTAAATTAGGAATGTAGTTGAGAAGAACTTCTTGCCACGTTTGGTCAGTACCAATCTCGGTACCAATCAAGGGCCTATAGAAACGCTTAATTTGATACATATTAGTTTAGTTTTTATCATCTGCTGATGATGCTAACATAGTTAGCGAGACGCGCATTCAGTGTTGAACCGAAGTGTCGTGTCTTGGTGTATTGTGCTTAATTACTATTTTATTTTGCTGTTGTAACACCAAAGGTTTCAACCCCGACTGTAATGTAATATAAGGCTTAAAATTAATTTAAAATTAAGGGACAACAAACGGCAACATTGGGTATATGCGAGTTGACTAATGGGACGTAGAGGCTAGGCCATGTGATCATGTGATTAAGTAGAAATGTCGTTAGAAGTAAAAATATCACAACATATTCTATCTTTATATATGCATATTTGTTAATTGTATATTTTATTATATCCTTACCTCTGTCTATGCTAAACCTCTTAGTACTCTTAGTAGTACCACACTGATGCTGAATGTGATTTATTTCAATAATTCGTTAAAAGTAAAAATGACAATTGAAAACATTTAGTTAATTTCCAGCTCATACAAATTATGTAACGTTATTTAATGAAGTGTCACTCATACTAAATTGCACACAAATGTCATTGTTGAAGCCGAAACAAAAATTTCCAAGCATACTGTGACAGCGTTTTCATTCGATCATGCAGGTGATTATTAGTTTATTTTAAATAAGAAGTGTATATTGTACCGTATGATCGAATAAAAACGGCGTCAACGATGACTATGAAATGAAGATCGCTGTAATTTTTTGTGTGAAATTATATTAAAATAATTATAAGGTACGTCTAAAATAATTATAAGGTACCATTTTAGTGTATTATAATTATTGGTTTAATAATTTATATTATTATAATAAATTAATATTAGGTAAATATATTTTTGTATTGGAAAAACAGTTTTTAGAATAATATTGTTGTACTATTTATTACTCTGAGGCTGATATAACGAATCCATATTTTTATTCCTATATAGAGTCCGTAAAATATTGACAGCTTTATTTTAAAGCTATTTACGTTTCTGCCGACCATAAATATTAATGTTTCATGTCAATGTTGTTTTTGCCAAATTGATTTTAGCATTTTTTCCAATAAAATCGGCACAAAAGAATGTAAAAAGTGCTTTTATAACGAGGGTCAAATTTAATTTAAAATATTCCATTCGATTTAGCGTAAATTTTTCAATTTGGCAGTTTTTGTTCTCACTGGAAGTATAAAAATTAACAAAGCACCTACATTTTATACAGGATTGTTCACCACATAGGACACGGAGTATTGTAGCTAAACCAAAGACATTATAAAGATAGACCGAACATCTCATTCATTAATACTCGTTGGAAGTGTATCAAACAATCCAATGTGTCAAACAAGGACAGAAGAGACAGAGAAGTCTAAAATTTCCGACCCCGGCAACTAGGCGCATTTGGATTGTTCTAATGGCCAGTGGCGTATCGTTTTTTGGAAGGAATTTAATTAGTAAAGTAAAAGTAATGTAATTAGTAAAAATTTTACTCCATATTAATATACTACATTAACAGTTTTCGTCAGATGAGTTTTGTTATAAGGTCTAATATAATAATATAATAAATATCCCATATATACTTATGTTGAAATGTTAGTAGGTAGTTTTCGAAAATCGCTCCAACATCGATTTTCAATTTAAACTTTCAGTTACTTCTATATAAACTTTCAGTTACTTTTGAATATTTACAGGGCGACTCAAGTTTCTGAAACAGTTCTATATTAGCTTTGTGGTTGGTGACTTTTCTTTCAATTTTTTTTTCAGAATATGGAGGCAATGGTAAAGCACATTCTAGACATTTTTGTAAACATAGGTGGCCGGAACATATTTTCAAACTAAAGTTGTAGATTTGCCATTAAATTTCCATTCCAGAAATACCTAGGGTTGCCACCTGTCCTTTTTTGAAAAGGACAGTACTTTTTTGAAATAACTTGTCCTTTTGACTTTTTTTGACTTAAAAAGTCATTTTTATTTACGTATTTTCCCTGAGAAAATTACCTACAGCAAACAGAAATATTCTTTAAGTCCAAATTTAATTAAAGACGTTATAAAACTTATAAGGGCAATGGAGGACCGTAACTTGGAAGAGGAAGATGTTCTTGATCGTAACAGGTGGCGGTTAGGCGTGGGGATGCGACGTTAGTTGCGACAACCCTGGAGTATATATATAAAACTTATTATAAATACATGTTTCTTGTTTAGAATAGGCAACATTATTTAGAACTTCCCGTTCAATCTCAAATGATAGTTTAGGTTCTAGTTCCTTTTTTGATCTTAAAAAGAAATTTTCAAAATTAGTAATTAGTAACGATTTAGTTAGTTCGCAATCGATAGCTTCCTGTGAAGTACTGTGTAATAGTTGTTTAATCTTGTATTATTAATAACTTCCTATACCTAAAATCAATATTTAATGAGAAAATTGTGTTTTTTTGAAAATATAAGACAAGATTTGACTTTTGGTCTTCTTCTTGTATTATGATGGCTCTGATACGAGGCAATTACGTTTTAGTCTCTCAATAGAATGCATTTATCATTAAAAGTATCAAATCTGTTTGCTACAGTATGGGATTTCTGTCGCATAATAATGAATATTACGTTTATTTACAAACCCATTACTTTTAAAGGTAGCTTCATCAGCAGGGGAGGATACAGGAATTTATTTTAGGGGGGGGGGCCCAAAATAAAAAGTAATGTAGAATATGCTTTTTAGGGCGCCATTTTTAACCCAAAAGCCTAATATTTAACACAATTTACAGGTTTTAGGGGGGGCCCGGGCCCCATGGGCCCCCCTCTGTATCCGCCACTGTTCATCAGACAATCAAATTTTAGTTAAATGTCTCAACCTTCATGAACTGCATTAAGCATATGTATTGCGGTTTGAATTACCCTGTATGTTGACAAAAATATTTTGAAAATGTGCGTTACAATGGCCCCCATCTTATGTAAAAAATTGAAATAAAAATCACAAACCAAAAACGTAATAGGTAAAAAGCTTTTTTGGAGGCCTGGGTCACTCTGTATATAGGTATGTATAAAACTAGTAGCCTAAAAATTATTTACATTTAGTTCGTCACATTCTAAAAAAAAGGTAAACACACCGTACGGTGGTAAAAAATTGTCTAAACAAGGCCGAAGGGGCAGATATAATAAAGCAGTAAAATGTAAAAAAGGGCGGGTAAACACCTTTGTTTATTTGTAGAGCAAAATTTCTTTAGAATATCGCATGTAATGACCAAAATATGACGCAATTTTAAGAAAAAAATGTCACTTTCTGGCTTATAATAAAGCTTCGAATATGCAACGTTTATATTCAAATTTGTTATGATCTACAACAGTTAGGTAGTAATTAAGACGAATTATAATTCAATTACCGGCTACTACGTTCTTGTTTTAATGGATCAAAATTCAACAAATATAATTAGAAATTATTTTAATTGTAAGGGGCTCCCTTGTAGGACGCCTATGTACAATTACGGCGGAAATTTGTACCTACCTGTGAAAAGACCAATTCGGGTAATTTGAGCTTATTTTTCCATACACTTGATACTATCGTACCATATTGAAAATTCGCAGATTCAAAAGTACGTTAAACAAAAACAAAAACTACCGAAAAACACTAAAAAGTTTACTTCGGACTTGATTCCGACTTCAAACACACCGTAAGCTAAACGTAGTACCTGTGGTAGTACGCTATAAAGGACCAAAGGCCGTCGCGAGGGGTGGTGGAACGG